GAGCTGTGTCCAGCCCAGCAACGTGCATTCGGCCCCAGGCATCACTGCCTGGGGTTGTAAATCCTCATTTGAATAAGATGGACAAAGTTTCATGCTGAAGGTCGCTTTTTTCCTAGCTACTCCTTGGCTTCCTTCGGTATTTTGGGGCACGCAGCCCCTCCCGGTGCTACCTCTGGTTGCAGCCGGAGCTGTTGTTTCCCTGCCAAAATCTGCAGCTCCACAAGAGACTTCCACAGTGGAGCCGCGCTGGCTGCTGCTTCAGAAGCAGACAGGTAGAAGCTCTATTTTTATCTCAGCCCCGAGGTTTTATCTTGCAAAAAAACAATGTTTCTAGATGCCTTTGACACTCGCACAGTTCCTTGCACAGAGCCTCCGCGTCTTCTTTTAGATCTTTGTACGTTTTCTGCCTCTCTCTGTTTCCTGTGAATTGCAAGTGTTAGCAGTGAGGCAGGCGGTGCAGTTAAGTCTCATTATCACTTACTGTATTTGTTTCAGACTGTCTACATAGCAGCCCAGTGCCAGGAAACGTGCTGCATTCATTTACCTTCTTCCCTCCCCAGCAATGCACATGGCAGAGGCATTCACAATGCTTTCTGGTGCTCTCAGTTCTCAGGATTATTCAGCTGCTAAGGAAGAAGAAGCAGCTTAGTAAGGACCATGGATTTTTTTTTTTTTTTTTTTTTTTGCAGATAAACTCCTCCAGCACCTGTGTAAGCGTGATAAACAATGCAGGATGTGCTTGTTGTTTGGTTTTGAAAAGGATGTGATGTACATGCTGGAGTTCTGCAGCTCCATCGATCGTATCTTGCAAAATAAATGGTGCTGAGCATGGTCAGCGATGGGCTGGAGTGGTCCTGAGTTAAAGCAGGGGCGTGCTGGGAGAGGTGGGCATCAAGGGGTGCTCCCTACTGCCATGGCAAATGTTTTCTTTATTCCTAAGTTTTGAGAGAAATTGAGAGGGGTTTGGTCTGGCTACACAGAAACTGCAGCTGTAGCGAGCTCTCTGCTCTGAGAAGGAGGAAGAAGAAAAGGAGGAGGAGGAGGAGGAAGAGAAGACAGAAGAGGGTGTCCCATGCACTTGGTACACTTGGGCTGCTGGAAGCACCGGCTCACACCTCTCCCAGCTGGTGGTACCCCAGGGTGCCTGGCAGCCTGAGAGCCAGAAGCTGAACACAGTTGTTTGATTGAGATCTGTCCTCAGGGGTAAACCCATAGGCTGAAAAAACCCCAACCCGTTCCTCCATGCACAGCAGGGGTGCGAGCGTGAGCAATTTTGACCTTTAAATGAATAACGTGTTTCCTCGAGTGTCATCCCTTGCTTTGGCTGGGAGAAGGGGAGGACAGACGGATGGACGGACGGACGGATGGAGGAGCAGTCTGCTTCACTGCTCTGCTGGCTGTGCTGCTTTCACTTGTTTTTGGAGTTGTACGTGAAAGGGTTAAGCAGAATTTTGATCTCGGCAATATTTTCATGCTTATACATTCTGTTTCTCATTTCCATGACAAAGATGGTAGGAAGAGCAGAATAAGGTACAGAATTTGCAGAGCAATTTTAAGACTGTAATGAGAACAGAAAATAGTAGGGGGAGAAGAATTGTAATTAGAATATGAAATGGGAAAAAAAATTAATCTATTTCCATGTCAGTCTTAAGACTAAATTCTGCTGCTCCCTGTAGCTTTCAGTGGACGGATTTTTTTTGTGTATATATATGAAGAGCTTGAACTCCTTTGCAGGCTCAGAAAGGTCCAGGTAAATGAGTTTAAGTCCTCATTCCCCCCCCCAAATAATGTAATAACAATAATTTCATGTGCAGCATTCACAGAAAACCAGCCAGTCCATAAGATAAATGAATGCTGTCACTTGAATACTGGTGGCATTCAGGATCTCTCCAGCCTCGAGTACAGAAGAATAAAAGGAGAGGCCCCCTGAGGGTGGTCGCACAGCACCAGGTCCAGCTGAGCTCCAGGTACCTCCAGGGCTGAGGATCCCACAGCCTCGTGGTCCATCATTAGCCCACCCAGGTGGTGATGTTTTCTCCTGTTACGTCCATCCACATGGCTTCCAGCAGCCCACAGGTCAGGGCAACTCGAGCTCGAGGGCTCAGATTTGCCGTCCCGCTCTCATGTGGCCGGTTGCTGTTCTGCATCCTCCCAGGCCACCACGTCCTGCAGCAGGAGGCTTTGCAGTCGGGCACTGCGGGAAGAACTCTTTGTGATTCTTTCTTTCTGTGATTCTTTGGGTGAGGTGTTTGGTTCCTCCAGCTAACGGCTCTGGTGGCTCCTCGCATTTGGGCTGTGAGAGCCGGAGAAGAGCCGTTCCCTGTGCTCATCTCATGACGGGTGCCTCTCTGTGAGCCCGTCTGCACCATCTCTTTTTCTCATCGGGGTACACCAGGCCCCTTTTCTTGCTCCATCCCATTTTGCTAGCTGTACAGGTATAAAATAACATTCTGTCTTTTTTATTATCTGCTCTTTCCCTGATTGCTCCTAGAACTTGAATGGTCTTTTTGGCAGTTGCTGAGGACTGAGCAAAAGCTGGAGCTGAGCTCTCCAGAACGAGTGCACAGTTTCCTCTCTGGGCAGTAGCAGCTATTTTAAGGCCCGTTGTCGTGCCTACGTTGTCCGAATTGCTTTTCTCCAGTGCATTACTTTGCATTTATTGACATTAAATTTAATCTTCCATTTCCTCGCCACCACTTAGCACTGTGAGAGTCTTAATGCAAAGCCACTCAAAGTCCGCTTTTAGTTTTGGCTAGCCTGCATAATTTTTGTCTCATTAATAAACTTGAATCCTTCTAGATTGCTTTTATTATGAACTGGATGGACTTTAGTGCAGATGTTTCTCATCCATGATCATCCTCCTGCTAATACCTGATGGGTATCTCCTCGCTGGCAGTGAGCAAAGGACCCTTCCCTTTGGTCCCAGGACAAGCTGGGTTTAGTTTTTAAGAGCTTTTGGTTTCGTAGTGAGGGAGTCAGACCTGCAGATCTGCAGTTTTATGAATCAGAAATTAAATTTAATTCTGGAACTCCAGAGTTAAAGAAAAAACAAACAAGCCTGACACCTTCCACTTGCCACCCCGTTTCTTCTGCAGTGGAGCCTGGCCGGTGGGCTGTGCACACCGTTTGTGAATGCGAACTGCTGTGGAGCAGATGGGTGAATGCCACTTGGCTGTTCCTTAGGATTTTACTGTTTTGTTTATTTTTGTTTTGTTTTCTTTTTGGTCATCCCGTTGTGAGCCAGCTGCTCTGATGGGACTTTCCAAGGGCTCCCGTTTGGAAACTGAAAATACTGAAAACTTCTTGAGTGCACAAGACATTGCAGATCATTCCTGACTTCTCCGTGTGATTTTAATGTCTTGACAGCTTTTCTTCTACCTTGGTCATCCCTTGGCATCACAAACTATACCGCAGGCTTCCTGGTTCTGGTGTGTGTGAGAAATAAAATACATAAATTTGTAAATTGTTCTTAAAAAAAAGAAGAAAAAAAAATTTACTGTATGGTTTTCATACTTAAGTCTTCATCGGTATTAATCTGAATCTACCCTGGGATGATTTATTTGGCTGCCTGTAGAAAACCCAGCCCCCATGAAAACCAGGTGACTCCCAGAGATGCTCGGCTGTGCAGCAATTTAAAGGATGTGCTGCCACTGACACCTGCTGTGTTGTTGTGCTCGCTCCTAACGACGTTTGTCCAGAAGCAAATTGCACTAAGTGCTGAGGCCGGGTGGCTGCGCGGCGACGGGGCTGGAAACGCGGAGCTTTCCTGCAGGAGCATCCTGGGGGTTCGTAAATCTGTGTCTGAACTCCTGACCCCCTCTGACAGGAGCAACTGAGGGGCCATCCAAGCATTTCAGTGGACAAATAAATAATGCTAAGTAGATCACTTTGGGCCAGAGGTTGTGTAAAGACCTTAATGGGGAAACTGCAGTTAAAGAGATTAAGCTAACCTCAGCTGTGTATTCCCCAAAGAAGCGTGGTGCTAAATTACTCCTGGAGGAAATCACAGCGGCGGCTCTGCGGGCAGCAGTGCTTAGGGGGGGCAGGGCTTAGGCAACTATTTCCCATCCCAGGGCTGTTGCAGAGAGGCGTGCTGCCAAAGTCTGTCCTTGCCAGCCTTGGGAGCTGCTGGGTTGTGTGCCAGTGCCCATAGGGCTGATCCTGGGGGACAGGTGTCCTTAACGCTGTATGGGAGCATCGTGGTGGGGACGCAGGGCTGGAAATTACTTTTATTGCTCCGTTTTCTTCTGAGTCACTCTCTGTTGGGATGCTGTTGGTGGCTGAGGTGCGGTTTGCTGGGCACTGAGACCAAGCACATCCCAAGCATGACAAGGGATAGAAATCCCAGCACATGGAGATGAGGGTACCATGGGCAGCTGGGGGACCTGCCGGAAGAGGTAAGAAGGAGAGGCAAGTGCTTGTGGCTCTGAGCAGCAGGAATCACTGGGAGTATCCAGTTCATTCTTTAGTGGGCACAAATTAGCTGCTTGATGACAATGGCATTGAGTTGCTGCTGGATTTGCATTAACAGTTCACTTTTAAGAGCTCTGGGTCCTCTCCTCCATGGATTTGCACTGAAGGTGGTCTGGCCCACCATTGCCACCAGCAAGTGTTAAAATTTAGGAAAGACCCCTAAAAAAAAAAAAAAGAAAGAAAAGAAAAGAAAGAAAAGAAAAGAAAAGAAAGAAAAGAAAGAAAAGAAAAGAAAAAGAAAAAGAAAAGAAAAGAAAGAAAGAAAAGAAAAGAAAAGAAAAGAAAAGAAAGAAAAGAAAAGAAAAGAAAGAAAAGAAAAGAAAAGAAAAAGAAAGGAAGGAAGGAAGGAAGGAAGGAAGAAGGAAGGAAGAAGGAAGGAAGGAAGGAAGGAAGGAAGAAGAAAGAAAGAAAAAAGAAAGAAGAAAGAAGAAAGAAAGAAAGAAGAAAGAAAGAAGAAAGAAGAAAGAAAGAAGAAAGAAAGAAAGAAAGAAGAAAGAAAAGAAAGAAAGAAAGAAAGAAAGAAAGAAAGAAAGAAAGAAAGAAAGAAAGAAAGGGAAAAGAAAGGCTAACAAAATTAAAACAAGAAGTTTGAAAGATCTTGCAGGCATCACTGAAGCCATGCCTGGTGCAAGTGGTGCCAGCATATTTCTCACAAGCTTGGAAGCTGACGTTTCCATCTCAGCCCATGGCTCCTGGGAAATAAAAGGACGTGATGAGATTTGTAATAAAACTGAGCAAGCTGGCAGTGCCAGCCAGGAGAAAGTAACACCTTCCTGAGCCCCGGCAGGAGGCTGTGTTTCCTTCCACTGGGTCCTTCCCAGGGAGCAAACATTCAGCCTGGTGTTTGCACAGAGCCGGTCCCACAGCCGCTCTGCCCTGGGGGCTGCCCTGGCTTGCAGCTTCTTATTTCTCTTACACATTTCCACCTTATTAGCGTGGGCCCAGTATGATCTCTGGGCACTTTTGCAGCCTTGAAAACGCCGTCGGGCCAGGAGCAGAGCCCTGGGATGGCGCGGTGTTGGGGCACGACGCGTCTCCCCCGCCGCTCCCGATTCCAGGTCTGCGCCTCCCAGGCTTCCAGGAGTCATGGACAGAAAACGCAGGGAACACTGCCTCTTTTAGCTGAAGAAGAGCAAAAATTCAATAATTATGAATGAAGCCGTGGTTAAGACAATAGCAGGCTCCGTTCAAATTAGCAAGAACTTGAAAATGATCCGTGCATCGTTCAGCACGAGTTTGATCGATGTGGGGGGGACAGGGTGCGGTGAATGGAGGCCCCCGGACCTGGAGCAGCTCAGAGGCTTGACACGTACCCGGAGCACAGCGAAAAGGGAGGAAGCGTTTGTAACCAACGGGAAATATTAACATGTCTGTTTCTGCTGTAAATCAATGTGGAATGATGGGGGCTGATTGTTCTGAAGTGCATTCTGTAGCGAAACAATAATGAGAAGAAGGAGAGCACATTACTTATCTGCTCTACCTGGCTGCTGGATAAGTGGCAAATGTCTAATTGAAAAAATATCCTGATGGGAGAATTTCTAATAAATTTGTTTGCACCCTCATAGCCTGGAGGAGAGGGAAAAAAAATCCAATCAGCAGTGGGGAAGTTCCAAAGTTTCCATCGCATTTCAAGCCTTGATTTTCAGGCTCGCTGCTCAGGCTGGCAATCAGAGGCGCAGTAATTTTGAAGGCAGGATTCATTACCGTTATTATGAAGGCATAAAGGGCAGAAGGAAGTGTGGAATGGAGGTAGGAATGGTAAAAAGCCATAAAAAATACATTCTGACAAACAGAGAAAGAAGAGTGCTCTTCCTGCCCTGGACCTCCCCAGTTAAAGACACTTTTTGTTTTCTGAATATGGCTTTGCAGGTGACTTTTGTTTTCTGGAGAAGAGCTGTTTCAAGCAGGTCTGAGCCTACATCTCCAAAATACCGTGCTGGAGAGGGCAAAAGTGAGGCGTGTGTGTGCGAGTTTGGGGAGGAAGGGAGGGACGGACAGACTGACAGATGGACAGATGGAATTAGTTCCCCACTGAGATGTTTTACATCTGTTGTGGGCTGCGTGCTGGAAAGCTCATGTTTGCCTCACCCGGCACCTCCCACGATGCAGCAGCGTTTGAGCATCACAAAGCCTTGGGGTGTCCCGGGCCAAAAACCTGGGTGGTTTTTTGGTGATGTGCTCCCGAAAAGAGATCGGGAGCAGGACCTCGGGGCCATAACTGTGCCTGTCCCCCAAAGGCGATGCTGCTGACATGCCACTGCCTTGTGCCACCCCTCCTGCACTCTCAGCCTGGGCTGGCAGAGGGTTTTTAGGCTGCAGAGCTGATTGAGTCTGCACGTCTGGAAGCACGGCAGCTCCAGCTGGGAGCACGTTAGCAGCAGCCGGCTGTGCCGGCAGTCGTTTTGCAGATGGAGGGAAATTCAGTTCAACGTGGCTCACACCCGGCTGGCTTCTGGAATTGCTGCTGGTCCTGGAAAGCCTGCAGGGATGCTGGTACTCACAGCATCCCGCTGCTCCTTCCCCGCCGAGGGGTTTTAGGAAATCCTGTACACGCACAGGGATCCCCCTCCATCCTGCTGTGGTTGCCACCACTATTAGGTGGTGAATTGCATGTGAGCCACTGTAATTTTGCTGCTTTTAATTGGCTTGCTGTGCTATCCCAGAGGATGGTTTGGCAATTAGAGGGTGTCTGTGCACTCTGGTGCTGAGCAGGGCTTTGCTAACTCTGCGGCCTTTAATAGCTAATCCTGTGGCACTCAGAGAAATGGAAGCGTAATTAATAGTCTACACTGAAAACCTTCACCTGGTTTTATTTAGATTTCTCTTTTATTGTCCTTAATGTGGCCCGTTTCAGTTAAGGCATAACTGGTTATCAGCTTCACATTGGAGAGCAAGAGGACGTGTGCAGGGTGAACAATCTCCAATTCATCATCTGGCTTGTAAGGGCAAGAGGGCCGGCTCTTCCCCCTTGTTAAGTGTACGGTGTCATTCGCAGCTGGTACCTTCATCCTTGTCTCAGGAGTGTTTTACGGCATATCCCGTTTTATTGCCGTAATTAATTTGTGAACTTTGCCTCCAGAACTGTCCCAGCTGCACTTTGAGCCGGAGACAACTCTGGAGGGTGTTCTTCCTTCATTTGGAGCAAGTGAACAGCTCCCGCTGCAGCTAATTAACGGGAACGGCTTTGTGCTTCTCCGTGGGGGTTTTGCTGGCTAATCGCTGGGTTTAGCAGCTCGCAGTGGGGTGAAGGCAGCAGGCACGCCTGTAGCAGTGAATGTGACAGTGCTCGGGATGCCCTCACATCCCTAATCGAGGAGGTCGAGTCCTAGTGGGCAGGCAGGGGAAGAGGAGAAGGGGAGGAGAAGGAGAGGCGCCGCCGTGCACACAGAGCTCACAAACAGCAAACTGTCGGGGAGAAGAACCGGGCTCCGGGTGGATCCCCCAGTGCACCGTCCAGAGTGACTTTCTGCACTGCTGCCCTGGTAAAGGAATGGGGATGTGTCTGGGAGAAGACTGAATGTGACCTGCCTGCCTTGGGAGTTTCCGTGGATGGAAGTTGGCTTTTGATAGTTGATCGATGGTGTAGTGGGAATTTAGCAGGAACTTCATTTCGGTGCTGCTTGCTTCGGGGCAGATCTGTGGATTTGCAGTTTTGCACATTCTCGGTTTATTTGTTTGACTTGGAGTGACTCGTTCTTTCATTTTGCTGAAAGAATTACCATAAACGTGTCATGTTACCACGTCCCATTGCAGTAACAGCAAGGTATGAGAGCTCATACATGCTCAAAAGTACTCAAGAACCAGCTCAGGATTTCATTCTGGGAATCTTGGCTCTTTACATGAAGGGCCAGGAAGGCGTTTGGGAAGCACATAACCCTGGCATGCAAATGGCATTTCTCTAACTCTAACTTTCTTTTGCCATTCTAGTTTGATGGGGAGAACATGTACATGGGAATGAACGACAATACCCAGGAGTTTCTATCAGCAAATCAGGTAAGCATCGTTTTGCGTGGGTGGGCTGGGTGGGCAGGGTGGGTGAGATTTCCTAGGAGACCTCGGCCATGGCAAAGCCCAAATTGTGGGAGATCTCCAGGAATCCACACTCACGGGACATCAAGAGGGTCCACAGAGGAGGTCAGCATCCTTCGCTATAAACCAAGGTGCAGTCGGTGTTTCTAGACGTGAGGTTTCCAGGCACTGCGTGTAGCTCAGGTGCCTCTCTCCATCCCTCACGTAGAGCATTTCCTGTAGCCGAAGGGGTCAGCAGTTAGCTGGCCTGGGGAAAAGAAAGGAATCAAAGGCTTCCTGTTTTGGAGCTGCTTTGGAACCCACGTGGGGAGGACCAGAATAGAAGTGCTCACGTCTCACAGGGCCCTGAGCAGAAGTGGCTGTTCAGGGGAGCCCTAAATACGTAAGCACGTGCCGTGCCCTGCTGGGAGGTGAGAACTTCAGCACGTGCCTGCCTGTCCTCCCAGCTGGGAGAGGGGAGGTGGCCCAATCTGCGTTCTGCTGTGGTCCTCGGGCTGAAACTTCTGATCACAAGGCAAAATGCAAGTTTCTCTCTGATATTTTTAAGCATCCTGTTTCGGGTCTGAGCGAGGCACTTCGTTGTGTGGTCTTGTTGGCCACAGCCACGTGCGTTGTAGGCTGTGATGAGTTCTGTGTGAACCTGATGCATTGCAAGGCAGTGAAAGGCGGCCGTGTGAGGCTTTCCATCCATCCCAAAATGCTGCTGGCTTCCTATTGCTCTGGAGTTGGCCTGAGTCACCTGGGGCGAGGTTTTGACACACTCCTGCTGCTAGTGTTGGGCAGTTGCCACAGCACCACTATAAATTAGGAAGCTATTGAGTCATCCGTGGCATATAACTTGGGTACCAAGGATGAAAAAAAAAAATCTGTATATCGAACAGAACGAAAACCTGTTGTTTGCCTTATAGTGCGGGAGCACGTGAGCAGAGGGTTATTCTGGTGTAAGAGCTCTTTCCAAGAGCATGGAGGGAATTGCAAAGTTTGTGCTCCAGGGTGATTCTGCAGAACCAGACACAGTCAACCAGCAAAAGCTCTGCTCGTAGTCAGAGCTGGGAATTGCCACAGGTTAAATAAAGGCAGAAGGGAATAGGGTGACCCCAAGGGGCTGCGGGTCAGGGTTCTGCCCTTTCCCACCCCGTTGCTGTCCAGAGCATGCGGTTAGGTGATAGACCCCATAGGGAGCACCTGTATTAGCTGCTCCACCTTCAAAACGAGTTTCCTCCTTGAAATGGGCCCAAGTTGCATGGGTGGGTGGAGAGCAATGGGAAGGAGCAGTGCTGTGGTGATGGGGCATGGCTGGCCACACTGAAGGCGAGGAGGAGGAGGAGGAGGGGTGATGTCCAAGGGAAAGCAGAGGTTATTGTGTCACAGAGGTTATCGTGTCGCTTCCTCCGTCACCGCGTCGGTTCGCGGTGTATATTTACCCTCACGTCATTGCTTGTTAACCATCACACGCTTTACAGCACTGGTCATGACTTTATTACTAATAACATGACTCTCCTATTTAACTGAGGGTTCCAGATGTTTTTTTTCATTTGCTCAACCTGTTGTAGCCTCAACGAGTTCGTTAAGCAGCAGGAGTGCACTTTCACAGTGCCCATTGGGAGGCAGCTAACTCACCAGCCCCTAGCTGCCCATGCAACCCGGGTGGGATAGTGCTTGGCCCTCAGCATCCTTGGGGACAAAGACAAATCCCACACACTAATTACAGGACCTATTGCACTGTATTTGATGGGCATGGTGTTTTTTCCCTCCGTTTTCATCCTAAGCCACTCGGTCACGCTGTGCACCATCAGGCACGGCTGCTGCGGATGGAGCTCCACCAGGGCTGGATGCTCACGCTCGTCTGGGTTATAGGAACTCGCCTTTTGCTTCTGGATCTGTGATTCTTCTTTCAAAATATCAAGGAGTGAGGTGGAAAGTAGAACTCAGCTTATCACCTCTGCCCCCATTTAAATGGCTCCTGTCTGTCAGGGTAATGCTTTGCACTTTCTGTCCTGAGACGCAGCACTTGCTTAAGCTCTGGAGTCATCCCTTCCCATCACACAGATAAGGATAAGACTATTCTCATTTTATAAGTAGAGCTGCAGAGTCTGTGGTTAGGGCTGCCCTGGTGCTGAGCACTCCTTGGAAAGCATCGCGGGGCTGCAGCATCCCAACATCAGCCTTATCACAGCCCCTTGCACAGTTTTCATCCTAAGCAGCTTCTGCAGCATCTCAGCCCGGACGGCTTCCCTCGCCTTCAGCTCCTGCACTGCTGAGCTGCTAACTTGTGAGAACAAGCACTGCCATGAACATTTTAAAGCCAGCTGATCTGCTTTCTCCCTTAATCTTCCTTCATGTGATTGCTTGTGTGCTTTAGTCTGCATTTCTTGTTTTCATCCCAAAAGGGGTTTGTCTCAGCTGAGAGCTAAATGCAGAAATACAGGAGCCTAAAACACAATGAGAGCGCTGACAGATCCACACCCGCACTGGCACAGGCTGCTTGGGGAAGATAATTCCTCTTGTTCCATCAAATAACAGGGACATTTGACCCCAGAAATGAGTCAAATGTGAAATGTAACTCAACCCCCAGCAGGGGCCAGAGCATAAATGCAACCTGACATCTGATCAAACAGTCGGGGACATTTGACCCCCGAGATGAGTGAGGTATCTGTTGTGTGTCCCAAAGTCAGCAGAGCATCATTCCTCACCCCTGCCAATTTTCCTTCTTTCCCCACCCCCCAAACAAAGCAAGGAATTAATGCAAAGTCCCAGGGAATGCACAGAACCCAAACCAGGCGAGGTACCATGACAGATGAGTAGAAATGCAACGTTGTTGTTAAAAGAAAAAAAAATGAAAAAAAAACCACCTGCAAAATCAATAAGAGAAGGTATTTATTAATGCCTTTGTGATGGGGAAAGTAACCCTAGGAAGGGCAAAATGTGTAACTGGGTGGCAGTGGGATCGTGCATGTTTAGGTTTGAGACACAGGGACGCAATGCCATCATGGAAAACCTTGATGGGTGCTTTTGCCAGATTTCTCCCCTCTCCATCACTTTTCTCTGGCTGCTCCTGGGGCAATGGGTGCTTCAAAGGAGGGAAGAGCTCATTACTTAGCACCGGGCATTTTTGATCCTAATCCCGGGAGCTTTCTGTACACAGCTTGTTCCAGCTGAGCAGCACGCTGGTTTCTGTTCTGACAAGTCAATTTGTGCAACTCCTCGTGCAAATGCTGTTACGCATCAGGGTGGTTTGTGCAAGCCGGAAAGCTGCACTGGCACAAGCAGCTCCTTGCCTTTGTGCCTGAGAGCACAAAGGACCCCACTGCTGTAACCACGGGTGTTAAAATCTTATGGTACATACAGACACGGCATTTCCACGTGGCAGCATGTGCGTAAAGTAAAGGAGGAGTTTTCTCCTGCTGCGTGTGAGTTGGCAGCAACTCAGCTGAACACAGCGCACTGAGGGCAAAGGAGTTAAGAGAGGTTTAGTTTGTCATGCACACACATCTACATCTGGCTTCAGATGTGTCCCCATGTAAACGTTAGCGTGGACTCACACATGCCTGCCCATTCCTGCACACATGGAATCCATCTGCGTGTCCGCGTGCTTGGATGTGTATAAATCAATATTTATCTACTGCATCTATTGCCCTTTATCTGTTTATCTCCATACATCTTCAAGCTGGGGGCTGTATTAGCCATAATAGATACAGTGAGTCGCTGATCTGGTGGGTCAAATGGTCAGGGCTCCTTGATCAGCCGTCAGGATACATTACAGCAGGGCCTCCGGTGGGGCTTGAATTACAACTTACATTTGACTCATTTCTGGGGTCAAAACGTCCCTCTTATTTGACCGAATGACAGAAATTGTATAATTTGTAAATATCCCTGAGCCATATGTGCTCTGAGTGCCACTCTAATGTGTTTTATAAAGGCACAGCTGTCTTGGTGACTTATTTAAAATGGGATTTTGAAGTAGTGTTCTTGCCATTTAATGTCCTCAATTCAGGGTTACACAAGGTTTATCAAATAATAAATAACGTTTAGGACATTCATTTTCGCATAACAATGGGTTTGCTAGTTATAAGGAACTGGACGTTACAATAAAGCTGTGTTTGGTAAATAAGCAATAATGTAGAAAGCAAGCGATGGCATAATTAGAAATTAATGACAGTGTGGGAAGCCACAGATACCTTCCTGGCACACTGCGAGTGCTCCAGACGAGACGGAGCTCATCCTGGCAGCCTCCGCGATAAAACATGCCGTCAAACCTTGTCACAATCCTGGCAGACGCTCCGCACTCCCACCTCCTGGGCCTCCCACCCATCTCGGCTGAGTTGCAGAGAAATGTCAGCAGTTGATAAAACAAAACCAGTCCCCAGCAGGTACGAGCGCCAATGGTCCTCGTCCACGCTGGGAACTGCAGAGCTGGAGCCATGGAGCCACCCCTTGTGAGGGCAATTAGGTACTGCTAATGAAGGCACTGGTCGTCCTTCCCTTACAGCAGCTCCGTCCTCCCTGCTAGGAGCTGTGGGCAGGACCAACGAGGACGTTTCCCCCTGCTGCAGACTACACAGCACAGGGGCAGGGAGGTCAGGGCCCACCGTCAGGCTGTTCTTGGTACAACTTCCATTCAGGTTCCCCGAGGAACTTGTTAGGTTCCTGAGGAGTCTGATGAGTCTTTGTGTCTGAAGAAACTTGGGTTCGTGTTAAATTGGACAGATGTATCTCAGGGTCTTCATGCTCTGTTGCTCTTGGCTGTGTGTTGGCTTGTTCTGATGGTCAGAGGATGGTCACTGTTAGAGAAAATCATTGACATAAATAGAAGGGTGTAAAAGAGGGGGTCCTGGCCCCAGGCATGGAGAACTCCCAAATGTCCACCAGTGCCATGCTCCTTGGATTTGACTCTCTTGCCTCTGTCTCTCTCTCCCCTTTTTAAGACCCCAGTGAAGAGAAGTGAGCTTTGCACCAACCTAAAG